TCTCTCTCTCTCTCTCTCTCTCTCTCTCTCTCTCTCTCTCTCTCTCCCTCTCCCTCCTCCTATTATCCCCTGCCATGTCTATCCCTTTCCCCTGGGTTGCTCTTAACAGTTCACCCTTTTCTAGACCCACCTGGTCTGGCAGATTCCTGATCATTGCAGGTCTCTTCACCTCATAACACTAACTGCCTTGACCACCTTGTTGGGGGCGGGGTGGGGAGAGGCAGCCAGCGCTTCCTTTCTTACTAAAGTTTCTTGTTGGATATCTCCCTCCACACCCTATGCCCCCAAGCTCCTGAGGCAACCCCTGTACTCAGGTCTGGGCTTCCAGAGGAGCTCCAGCTGCAATCAGCAGTGCCCATCAGTCCCTTTGGGCTTTGGAGGAATGAGGGCAGTTTAGCCTGGCAGAGAGTGGGAACATGGTAGGAGAGCCCGTGAACAGTGGTGGAGCTGAATGTTAGAACCCAGCAGTACTAGCCGTTCTTCCAGGTGCCTAATTCCCAGCTCAGTCATGCACAGACCCAAGGCTGATGACTTGCCCCAGAGGACAAGCCCAGCTGGGCTCCAAGCTTCCCAGAGTGAATGACAAAGTGGTCTTACCCTGTTTCTTGCTTTAATCCTTTTATAGACAAAGTCAGGGAAGGTTTTCCGAGGAACAAAGCGCCCTGATCCTGGTGTGACAAAGAGATTTCCATCTTCCAATACAATTCTTCCTTGGCTAATGACCACCGTGGGAGCCCCTCGGCACTCAGTTCCTTCAAAGATGTTGTACTCCACATTCTAGGAAGAAAAGCACACGGGGAGGATGAGTTCAGGAGCCAGTGTCATTCTGTTCATTCTCAGCTACTTTTTTTAAAAATATGAACTTGACAAATAGCAATAGTTACAAAAATGACTTCTTGTTGAGTTGTGTCTGACTTTTCATGAGCCCACTTTGGGTTTTCTTGGCAAAGATACTGGAGTGATTTGCCATTTCCTTCTCTAGCTCATTTTACAGGTGAGGAAACTGAGGTACCCAGCTAGTAAATGCCTGAGGCTAGATTTGAACTTAGGAAGAAAAGTCTTCCTGACTCTACTCTAACTGTGCTACCTAGCTGCCTTCCTGGCTTCCCTGCCTCCCTCTGAGCCTCCTTCTGCTCTCTTTGGGGGCATTTTGAAAATGTTTCATTGACACCGGCTAAGTTCATTTTGCAATTCAGAACAGCAGAGAGGGGAGCCCGTGAGGGCAAAGGGGACAATGAATTGCTCCCTGTTCCCTGAGGGTGCCGCTCCAAAGTCAGATGACTGACTGCTTGCTGGGGACCATGCAATGGCCTTGTCCAGGCATGCCCGAGGCTCAGTGGCTGCTGGGGTTCCTGCCAACCCTAGCTGGAATGCCAGCTGCTCCCACCAAGGAGCAGCCAGAGGCCTGTGCTGGAGCCTGTGCTCAGAAATGACTCTTCATCATGGGTAAATGGTGTGTGCCGACCATCTGGAGACACCCAGGAGAGCTACATGGGTGTGGACAGCAGGGATGCCGGGAAGCAGGGGAGGTCAGTCTTGCAAGTTACTGCCCACTGGCAGCATGGCCTAGAGAACAGGCCACAAGGACCCAAGTTCCAATTTGGATCCATTAGTTAGGAATTAGTTTGCCCTGGGCAAATTCATTTCACTGCTCCTTGACTCAGTTTTTTCATCTGCAAAACGTGGTTGGGCCAGACTGGGTGGCATTGCAGGGCTTGCCTATTTGCCCCCAGTCCCTCCTGAAGTGGGATTTCCAGGCTCAAGTTAATGGGAAATTATTGGGATAGAGAGAGGGCTATGCTTTCTGACCACAGGAGGGAAAAGCCTGTGTGTGTGTGTGTGTGTGTGTGTGTGTGTGTGTGTGTGATCAAAACAAGAGCTCAGGTCACTTTGTGTTTTGGGAGTAGCGGGAGGGAAGAAAGCAGGAGGAGCCAGGGCCTGGGGCTCACAGAGAGCCCCTGGGGATGCCAAGGCAGTTCCTACTACTTGGAGACACCTCATCATCCCAACTCTGCACAGAGAGGACACTTTCCCAGTGATGTGGCCCTCCTTCCAACTGTAGTTCTTTAGGCAGCTGAGGCGTGCCACAGAGCCCAGAGCACTGGACCTGGAGTCTGGAAGACCCAAGTTCAAATCCAGCTTCAGATACTTACTAGCTGAGTGAATCTGGGCCAGTCACTTCAAAGACTTATATTGTTTCAGTTTCTTCATTTGTAAAATGGGGATAATAGCGACATCTACCCTGAAGGGTTATGCGTCAAAAGAGATAATGATTATAAAGTGCTTAGCTTAGTGCCTGCCATATAGAAAGTGCTACACAGAAGCTACCTATTCTTATTACTGTTACAACTACTACCACTACCACCACCACCACCACCACCACTCCTGCTCCTCCTCTTCTTTCTGCAGACTTGGGGCCAATTGGTGACCAGCACAGGCAGCCAGCCATTGTTTACAGGTATCAGAGGCCCTGGACACCAGTGGTTTCACAGAGCTGGGGTCCAGCCACCCTGACAGTGCCCACATGGCTTGTTTCTTCTCCTGTTCAGGTGTGGGCATGAGGTAGGGATGAGGGGAAGGTCAGGGGCAGGGTGAGAGGCCCTTACCAGATGGTGGCTCTTAGCGGAGATAACGTTGGCCGCCTTTGGGTTCCATATGACGAGGTCTGCATCGGACCCCACAGCCACCCGGCCCTTACGAGGATACAAATTGAAGATCTTTGCAGCGTTTGCACTGGTCACAGCAACAAAGTCATTCTCGTCCATCTTTCCTGAGGCCTGAAAATCAAGAAGAGAATTTCTGAGGGCGGGAAGCAGCCCATTGGGTCCGGGGAGCCACCAGCAAGGCGACCACATCCTCAAGTCACACGTCAACAGGACCAGCTCCACAGATTCCCAAAGAAAGGCACTTCTGCTGTAGACTGACTGTGTGACCTGGCTGTGTTGGCCTTAGTGTTGACTGACTGACATCGCTGACTGGCCTTCCTGACTCCACCTACTCTGTTCCTCATCCTTAGCAAGGATGGGCATAGGAGAAGCTGTGAGAAGGCAGACATCTCTGACAGTCCCTTCTGTTTTTCTGGGAGCATTCTTGCTGAAAGGGTGCACACAAGGCCACCACTTAAGGGTCCAGATGCCACCCAACAATTGCCTTCCTAGAACTGGGCTTCATCGAGCCTTTGTCAGTAATCAATTCTGCTAAGCAAACGACTCATTCAAAATTATCAATCTGATATGTCGTTCGACTGAGGTTGATTTCAATCAAAATTGTTTTTGTTCCCTTTCTTCCCAACTCCCAACAACTCACCCCTGCAGGTATTTTTTTTATCTCATCTGATTTTGTTCACACCTATAAGTCAATCTGTGTGGGGAATCTCCCTGTGTGAACACTCTCTCTACTAATTTGCCACACCATTGGGCAGCCCGGGGCAGTAAGAGGTTTGCCGATTTGTCTTTGGTCACATACATCCTGTTTGTGTCAGAGGCAGGACCTGAACCCAGGGCTTCCCACTGCACCAGGCACCATCCTGATTAAATAGTTCTGTGCTGTGGGACCCTAATTGCGCTTCTCTCTGTCCAATAAGCCAAGAAGGGCAAGTTTATAATGCTTGCTTCCCTCCCACAGGCTTCCAGCAGCAGACATCCAACTGAGCCATCCTGATAGCCTTGATGGCGACAGGCCCTGGGACCCTCCAGCCCGCCTCAGTGTCTCTGTCTGTCCTTTTAGCAGGAACAGACCTTACAGTCGTCAGTTGTGCTAGAAGCTTGGCAGAGCCTTTGCCTACCACGCATTTCTCCCAAATGATGGTCATCCTCTCTTCAATCCCATTTGTGCCTTCAGGAATCATTGTAAAGTTGTCTTTGCCAACAGCTTTCTGGGCTGTGGTAAAGGTGCAGTGGGCACTGCCAGCAGCCTGCAGGTCCCCACTGGAAGAGAAGGAATGAGAAATGTTAAGGATTCTTCCCCTAAGTTTTGCTTTTCTGAGCGATCTTTGGGCTCAGATTGTGCCCACTTCCTGGATCAGAAATGAAGGATTCTGAGCTCACATCTTGACTTTGCTACTATTCTTTGCATAAGGACCTTACGCAAGTCCTTTCCCAACTGCATGCCTCAGGTTCCCCATTTGTAAAATGAGGGGTTAAGGTTCCTACCAGCACAGACTGCCTGCAAGTCTATGTTACTGGGAACGTTCCTTAGGAGGCTAAGCTCCTCTCTGGAGTTTCAGAGCCAAGGACTGACTTCTGCACTAGACACGGTCCAAGTCCAATGTAAGGAAAGAGAAACAGCTATTCACTTTCCCCCGTGGCCTCGGTACTGGGGCATGCTGAGTGAGGAGGCATAGTGCTCAGCACTTGGGGCACAGGTGAGGGCAATGTTCATCTCTCCAGCTCCCACCACTGTGTCTGCAGTGTCCCCAGCTCACAAGCACACCCACAGAAACACTGGACATACAGTGCTCAGAGCACTGAAGACAGCACTGAAGGGCTCATGGGGGAGGACATGTATAGTGGCAAATGTGTGGCGAGCATAAAAACTCCAGGACTAGCCCCTTACCTTGCGAGCAGAGATGAGAGATGGTCAGGAGTCAGGGGGTCTGGGCTTATTGGGGGGGACGTGACAAAGGCCGCAGCTTTGGCCCAGTTCTTGCTCCAGTAGTGCGAGCCATCAGTGCCCAGGCCAGCGGTGATGGGTTCTCCATACACAACAGTCCCTAAAAGGAGGCAGGAGTTTCCCCTCAGGCTGGAAGCAAAGTTTTCCAAAGGAATTACACCCTGAGGAAGGTGGGAGTTGAGGTAGGGAGTGAATCCTTCATTTTATGAGCTTCCAAATGCAACCAGAATCATCTGAGCAGCACAGATGCCAATCCCAAAGAACACAGAGACCGGAGTTAGGCAGAGCCGTCCTATCAGGGAGGGTGGGAGAGTACTCCAGCCTGGGCATCCTTAAGCAGCCTCAGTTCCAGGACACTGACTGTGGTGGAAGCATCATAAACCCAGGGCCTCACATGTCTACAAACACACATATCAAGTATGAAGAATGCACAAGATGACCCATAGAGCCTGAGGCAAGGCATGCAATGTGACCTCAGAGGAATCGCTGCACTTAGTGACATGAGACCCGAGACTGCAATATGGCTCTGGGTGGATATACATTACTGAAAAAACAAAAGAGGACATGGGAGAGATAGAAAAGGAGAAGGGGACATTGAGCACTGGATCATAAGGACACACCCTCTTAGGACCAAATTCAAGAGCTGGAGGCAGGAAAGCAGGGTGGAGAGCGTTTGGGTGAAGGTTAAAAAACAATTTTGTCATTGGCTTGGTCTACAGACCACCCGAGCAGAAAGAGGAAATAATTGAGTTGGGCAAACATCACCGGCCTGGTCCATAGGCATGATGGGTCATGCCTAAAGCTCATCCTTGGATAAAAACTAACCATTTGTCCATTTCCTTACAACTTTTCCTTCCAAAGATGAGAAATTCAAATCTGTAGGAGACTGTCACCGAGAGCTAGAGGCAGGGCAGGAATAGTTGAGGAAGAGCAAAGTCCACGTTGCTTCTGCTGCCCAGCCTGGCTTCACCGCTAGGGAAAAGATGCCCCTCCCAGCTTAAGCTTCTCTTCACACTGCTCACTCAAGCCTGGACTGACGCCACCTGCCTCAGCCTCCTCTCCCCTGGCTGTGGAGGGCGGAAGTGTGGGGTGAAACGCCTCCCAGTGTCCTCCTTCACCGAAGGCAGAGACTAGTCCCTCAGCTTGCTCCACATTGCATTTGCTGCCTGGCCTGGTTTCACTTCCATGAAACAAGATACCCCCCATTCTGAGTAGCCTCGGGGGTCTCCCCTCACTCTACTTTCTTGCCTCCTTTGGTTGTTTTTCCCCTTTAGATGGCAAGCTCTTTAAGGGGAGGGACTGTCTTTTTATTAATTGCATCCCCAGTGACTGGAGCATAGCAGGCACTTAATCAATGTTTGTTGGATTGGACTGGAGTGTCGAGAGAAAAAGAAAGTTGGGATCAGCTTGGCAGGAGCCTGACTTTGGAGAGAGTGGATTTCAAACATTCAGAGAGAAGAGATAGGAAGGTGGCTTCAGCTGAACCACCAGGAAGAGAAGTCAGCCCAGGAGGGAGGCCAAGCTCTCAAGAATGAAATGCTCATGATGCACAAAGAAACATTTGAATGAACATTAATGGGAGCATTCTGAAAAGGTGACGTATGCCCATGAGGCCACTGCCCCACGGAAATGACTGCGCTTCCTCCAGAACGTGGAGACCAGTTAGATGACGAGCAGATGAGCAGAAAACCTTGGGGTGGCAGCGTAAAAACAATATGCAGAATATTAAACCTCAGACTGACCGGAGGCCAGGCTGGAACTCACGGAGGACATGGTGGTTGGGCTTTATTTGAAAGCTCTGCTGGAGAAGGGGAGGCCCAAGGCAGTGATCTTACCCTTGCCTGGAGTGGACAGCATGGAGAGTGCTGAAGGCAGAGAAAATGCTCATCCCTTCTCTGGTTTCTCTTTCCTCTGCCAAGGAGAATGATCTGTGGCCAGCAAAGGACAGCTAAGGGGGAAGACTGTTTATTTGTTGTTCAGACTCTCCATGAGCCCATTTGGGGTTTTCTTGGCAAAGATATGGGAGTGGTTTGCCATTTCCTTCTCCAGTTCATTTTACAGATGAAGAAACTGAGGCAAGCCAGGTTAAGTGACTTGTCCAAGGTCATATAGGTAGTAAGTATCTGAGGCCAGATTTGAATTCAGGTCTTTGTGACTCCAGGCCTGGCACTTTAGCCACAGCATCACCTAGCTGTCCCCTAGATGGTTTATACCCAAGATGAATAAAGTGATAATAAGACAGCACCTGGGCAGCTAGGGAGCACCATAGTGCATAGAGCACCAGACCTGGAGTCAGAATCCTCTTTGTGAGTTCAAATCCAGCCTCAGACACTAGCTGTGTCACCCTAGGCAAGTCACTTAACCCTGTCTGCTCAGTTTTCTCACCTGTAAAATGAGTTGGGGGGGAAGCTGGGTGGTGTAGTGGATACAGCACTGGCCCTGGAGTCAGGAGGACCTGAGTTCAAATCCAGTCTCAGACACTTACTAGCTAGCTGTGTGACCCTGGGCAAGTCAAATAACCCTCATTGCCTCCAAAATAAAAAAAAAATGAGTTAGAGAAGGAAATGGTGTACCACTCCAATGTCTTTGCCAAGAAAACCCCAAATGGGGCCATGGAGTGTCAGACACAACTGAGAAATGTATAAATGACAGGAGAGCACCCAAGTACTCCAATGAGCTCAAGGCACCTGGCTCCGCCCACTCCTGGAGGCTGGAGTGCTGGGTGGAACTGCTGATTCACTGCAGGCAGTCTCTGCAAATTGTGGGAGAGGGACCGAGGTACGCTGGGCTGGAAAATCCAGAGTTTTCAAAGGGCAAATCAAACAGATTGTGCAAATGAGAGGCCAGCGTTGCCCAGAAAAATGCCAGGTGAGCTCAGGACACCCATAGCAAAGGCTTGCCAGAGCTAGCAGCCTCTGCAAAGGCAAAAATGCCATACCAACCTGATTCCTTTTTGGACAGGCTCCTAAAACTCACAATGATTTAGCTGTGGCCATAGTGGAACAGCTATTAGCCAGGATTTCACAGAACATGGCCAGATCCAAGAAATCACCATTAATGGTTCAACATCAATGGTGGGGAAGGGCCTGGGCCTGAGCTAGTTACTGGCCATTTCTTGTCAGTGCCTTGGATAAAGGCAGAGGCACACACTTCTTGCATGGAGGGCTCATACTTAGCATGGGAGGGACCTTCCAGTCTAACTCTCTCATCTTGTACAAGAGGAAACAGGTCCACAAAACTGAAGCGATTTGCTCCAGGTCACACTGGTAAGACTGGCCCTAAGGGCTTTGTCCTTCTTTCCACTGTCCTATGTAGCCTCTCAAACTTGCCCATGATAGCACTGGAAGGGATGGCCAACTCATTGGACTAACGCTCAGCTCCATGTTCTAGCCTGTCTGGATCTTTGTCTCCATAAAGATGTGGACGAGTTAGAACATGGAGTCAAATCTTTACAAAAGATGTTGGGGGGAGGTGGGCTGGACCTGCAAATTCGTCAGCATGAAGAACTCCTGGTGTGTGAACCACCCACCAATGCAGACCAGCTGCTCATCTGCAACATGAAGTCTGGTACCAATGCCTGGAGTACCCAGTTGGAGATCACACAACTGGGATATGTCAGAGGGAGGATACAGACCCGGCTACTTTGGCTTCTAAAGCCAGTTCTCTATCTATAATGTCTGGCTCTGTCTCCAGATGAAATTTAAAAAGGAGAAAAAGAGTCTCAACCTTGGTTTGGAAAAATTGACTTCAAATAAAGGCCAGTGCAAGTGTGGCTAGGTAGTTGTTTGAAAGGGATCTGGGTGTTTTGGTGGGCCACAAGCTCATTATGAGTCAGCAAAAGGTCTGGGGAGCTAGGGGGTGGGGTGGGGTGGGGGGGGGAGGGAGAGCTTGAGTGATCTTAGGCTTCATTCTGAGAGGCCTAGCATTTGAGAATACTAGATGTGCTGAGCTGCACCCTGGACAGATCACACCTAAAATGCCTTGTTCAGGGCTGGGTGTCAGAGCCACCATTTAAAGGAAGACAAACCCCCAGATGTGGGAGAATCTTGAGTAAATGATCTATGAGGAACACGTGAAGGAACTGGGAATGTTTAGTTGGTGAAGAGGAGCCCATGGGGGGGGGCTTCCCTTGGGAACTTCCGGGCACTGGAGTTGTCCCCAAGTGGGCGGCTTCCACTGGAGTCAGACTCCGCCCTTCCTGAGGCTCTTCAAGCAAAGATTGGATCCTTGTTCAAGCTTGGCTCAGGAGTTTGAAATTCAGAGGATTCTTCTAAGGCTCTCCTGGAAAGAGACTGCTGCCTCATCATGAGCCATAGGGGACTGTCTTCTCTGTGCTAGTGGCTGGGACAACATGATTCCAGCAAATTCTGATGTCAAGTGAATATGGGACAATGTAAATGGGGCTGGATTTTGAGTCACAAAAGCTGGGTTTGAATTCTCACTCTGCTACTCAATGCCTTGTGACTTTGGGCACATTTTTTCACCTCCAGGGCCTCAGTTTCCCACTCTGTAAAATAAGGTTTGAGGACGAGATGGCCTCTGAGCTCTACTCAAAAACCTGGATAAATTCACTGTGTTGCTACAATTCAGCCTAATCCTTGGGTTCCTGGCCCTTTGTCATTGTTCCTTCTTTGTCCCTTTTTGCGGGAGCCTCCTCTGCATGCACCCTAACCATGGGCTGTCCCTCAGGGCTCTGTCTTGATTGTCTTCTCTACCCCCTGTATGTTATTTCATTTGGTGATCTCGACAGCTATGGATTTAATTACTGTCTCTTTGCTGATGATTCAAATCTACTACCTGACCTGCCCCAAACTCTCTCCAGCCCTTCAATCTCACATTTCCAATTGCCTTCCAGACATCTCAGACTGGATGTCCGGTAGACATCTTAAACTCAATATATCTGAAACAGAATTATTTTCACCCCTAAACTCTCCTGACCAGCCTTCTCCATACTGTAGAGGAAACACCTTCCTCTCTGTCCCACAGGCAACCTAGGAGTCTTCCTGAATTCTTCCCTGTCTTTCACCCCACCCCCCAAATCCAATCTGATGTCAAGGCCCATCACTACCACCTTTGCAACATCTCTGGAATACACTCCCTTCTCTCTTCTGACACTGCCCCAGCCCCGGTACAGACCCTTATCACCTCCCACCTGGACTACTGTAGTAGCCTGCTGTTGGCTCTGCCTGCCTCAGGTCTCTCCCCACTCCAATCCAGCCTCTATTCAGTCACTGAAGCAATTTTCTTAAAGTGCGTATCCAATCATGTCTCCTGTTTATTCATCAAACTCCAGTGGCTCCCTATTGCCTCAGGAGCAAATGCAGAATGCTGTTTGGCCTTCAAAGCCCTTTCTAACCTGGCCCCACCCACCTTTCTGATCCATTTATACCTTACTCCCTGACATATACCATTTGATCCAGTGACACTGGCCTGCTGGCAGTTTCCACCACCTCTCAGCTCTGGGCATTTTCTCTGGCCACCCCCCATTTCTGGAATGCTCTCCCTCCTCTGCTCCAACTGTTGACCCCCTCAGATTCCTTTAAGTCTCAACTAAACTCCCTTTTGCTAGAGGAAGCCTTCCCCAACCCCTCTTCATCCTGGTGCGTTCCTCTATTATTCATTTCTCTTTACCCTATATACAGCCTGCTTTGTGTATATTGGTTTGTGTGTTGTCTTCTCCACTGGATTGTAAGCTCCTTGGGGCAGGGATTGTCTTTTGCCTCTTTTTGTATCCCCATCACTTAGCACAATGCTTGGCACATAGTAGGTGCTTAAGAAATGTTTATTGATTAATTGATTCCCTTCAATATAATGAAGGTCCAGTACAGGTGGAGAAGAGATGCTGTTCTTTGGAGGCAATGAGCTGCTAATGGGAACAGAGCCTAGGATTATTTGGTCTGTGGTCCTTGTGAAGACAGGGTTGCAAGCAATGTCCTAGGCCACAGGAAGACAAGGCATGGAGACATTAGTCCTTACCTTTGCGCCTAGCGTGAGCGATCGTATCTGCTGCTCCTTTGCTCATCACTTTGGTGATGTAGAGGGGGCAGTTGGCCTGCTTGGCAATGGTGATTGCCCGGTACACAGCCTCTGCCTCCACCTGGACAAAGGAGGGAGATAGGAAAGAGAGAATGAGGGAGGGAGAGAGAGATGGAAGGGGAGAGAGAAAGAGAAAAAGGGAGGAAGAGAGAGAGGGGGAGAGAGAGAGAGAGAGAGAGAGAGAGAGAGAGAGAGAGAGAGAGAGATTGAGAGAAACTTCTAGTACCCTTCTGGCTGGTCTGGTTCCTCTGCAAACCAATTCCCCCCCCCATGGAGATTACAGTGAGAGGGAAATGGGGAAATGTGGAACTTCTTTGGCTAATTGGCTGGTATGAGGAAGTAAGGGAAGAGTTTTACCCACCCCCTATTTCCCACTTGACATCTGGAGCTCTGTGATATAGGGCGACTGGGACGTCCAGGTATGTGAACCCTGCTCAGGGTCAGCTCCACTGGGGCTGGGGGAGGGCAGAAGTGTGGTTTCTGGCTAGGCCCAAAATCAGTCCAACATGGGCAGCAAAGGGCTGGTGAAGAAGATCTGGAATGGTAGGGTTTGTGGCTGGAGCTGCTGAGCCTAGAGTACTGATGTTCCGGGAGAAAAGAATTCTAAACATCTTTTTGGATGTCTCAGGCTGCAGAGAAGTGACCAAATGCCAGTCCCACATCATACTATAGAAAGGAGATGAGTGCCAGAGTCCTGAGAGAAGGAAGCCCTGCAGAGGGCTGGGCACTGGTACTGGCATTTACCCAGACAGACACAGGAAGGTATCTCTTACCTCCTCAGGGTGGCTAAGAACATGGCCCTCTGGTCCCGTGATCCCAAGTTCCAACAATCGCTTCTGTTCCTACATCAGCCAGAAAGAAGGTATCAAGCTCTTTCTCTGTACTGTTGAATCATCAGAAATCTATGGACAGTATCTGAGCTCTGAAGAGGTCAATGCCTGCACTGAGTAAAGCAGTCTATACTATCCCAAGAAATGGCTTTTGGATGTGTTTGTTTTTTGTGCATGAGTTTGGAGACATTTCTTGATGGCCGCTGGTTGACCTGGATGACAGAGAGCCATGTAATAAACAGAGTCCTCGTTGACTCTGGGGAACATTCACTCATTGACATCATGGGGACTTTCTTTTTAACCAAGAAAACTAGAGCCCTACTTCCCCTTGTCTGCTTGCTTCCAGAAAACTCAGAGCCAAATTCAGCACCCACAGAGGCACTGACTTATTCCAAGTTCCCGGTACTATTGCTTCCTCTTCTCCTTCTAATGGACTTTTGTTCTGTCTTAATTGTAATTATCTTGTTTAACTCTATTTCACTTTCTAAGTCATCTTAAATTCATTCTGAACCTAGATAGGAATGTGGACCAGACAAAAGAATAAATGGGAATTCAAAGGAGTAATTGAGAAAGCACTAGGCCTGAAGGCAGAAAGAGGCCTGGGTTTAAGTTCTGACTCAGCTCTTTGCTAACTGAGTGATTTTGGGCAATCATTTCACTGCTCGGGGAATCAGTTTTTTCATCTGGCAAATGGGAGAGGAGTTAGAATAGGTGGTCTTTAAAAGCTCTTCCTAGATCTAAATTCTATGATACTAAGGAGTGTGCCATCACATAATACACATCTGCAAAATGGCCTTTGGGAATATTTGAGGGTATGAGGACATGAGTAACAACTCATGTCGTTGGTGTTTTATTGTGTATTGCACTTTTACAAAGGTGAGCTTGCTTTCATCCTCCCAATAGACAGGATCCTGTCACCAAAGTAGCTGGGCAAGGGGCAGTATATTCTCCCAGTGAAGGCTCTGAGGCCCAGAGAGGTGATGCAGTTAGTCCAAGGTCACACAGCTGATTAGCAGAAGAACCAGGAGAGCTCAGTTTTCCCAAATCTCAGCCCTGTGTGTGCATCCCTAGTGTGTGCAGTCAAGGGTCATCACAACTTGTATTTATCAAGTGCTTTCTACAAAGCACTTTCATTTTTTGCAAAACCCTATGACGGAAGCAGTACAAGGATCATTAGCTCTCTCTTACAAATGAGGGAATACGCTTAGAGACACAAAGTGATTTCCTAAGCTCACACAGCAAGTATGGATTAGAGAGAGGACCGGAACTCAGGTCTTTGGCTTCCAAGTCCAGTGTTCTTTTTACTTTGTCATGTTCAAGCATCAGCACCCACAGGCCCCACTGACAAAGTTTTCACAATCAGATCATTTCTCTGGGTCTTGCACAGAATTGTTCCCAGCACCTCATACAGTACATATTCCTAGAGCTCCAGTAGCCAAAAGGAGAGTTTCACTTGGCTGTAAGAAATTAAGAATACATGCAGTGTTGGCCCCCGGGAGCCTTCTTAGAAGGTTCATGTATGGTGGAAAGGGCAGACCTTGTTCCTGGTGAGGGCAATGCTCCATTCACTGGCATCTCAGCCACTATTTCTCTGCCCTTTCCTTGGAATGCATAGTCCTGGGGCAGCCCCAGTGAATAGCAGAACACTTAAAGCAGGCAGGAAGTGCTGGGAGATCTCCTTGTCCCCAGGCACTGGTGCCCAGGAGGATTTTGGTGCTGTCCGTGGTCCTAAAGCAGTCTCCAGAAGGGTTAGAAACATTGGGTGGATTCTTAATCAGTCCCAAGAAGTTTAGAACTTTTGCTGGGTTTTAGAGCAGTTGCAATGAGAGTTAGAATATCTCCTGGTTTGTTGTTGTTCAGAGGCTTCAGTCGTTTCACTCGTGTCTGACTTTTGATGACCTCATTTGGGGTTTACTTGGTAAAAATACTGAAGTGGTTTGCCATTTCCTTCTCTGGCTCATTTTATAGATGAGGAAACTGAGGCAAACAGAGTGAAGTGACTTGTCCAGGGTCACAGAGCTAGTAAATGTCTGAAGGTAGGTCTTGCTGACTCTAGGCACAACACTTTGTGCACCATGGTGCCCCCACCTGCTCCTGTATCACCAGTTGCCTCTGTTTCTAATTAAGCACTTATTATGTTAAGTGTCAAATGTCAAGCTGTGTGCCAAGTGCTGGGGATACAAACAGAAAAGCCAGAGCATCCTGCCCTCAAGGAGTTCCCATTCTAAGTTGCTGTTGAGTCTTTTTAGTTGTTTCAGTTGTGTCTGACTCTTCATGACCCAATCATTTGGGGTTTTCTTGGCAAAGATACTGGAGTGATTGGTTATTTCCTTCTCCAGCTCATTTTATAGGTGAGGAAACTGAGGCAAACAGGGTGAAGTGACTTGCATAGGGTCATACAGCTAGTGTCTGAGGCCAGATTTGAACTCAGGTCTTCCTGACTCCAGGCCTGGTGCTCTATCCACTGTACCTCCTAGCTGCCCCCATTCTAATTACATGAGGCAATAAAGGAGGAAAGAAATCAGAAGGGATTCCCCAGATTGGTAAGAGGAGTTCGAGTAAGCAGTAGGGTCAAGGAAGCCACTTCGGGAAAGAATAAAAAAGGAGGATGTCATCAAAAGTATCATACTGCAGAGCCATCAGACAAGAAGAGGACTAAGCAAAGATGAGTAGATTGGGTTGTCAGGAGGTTGGGAGTAACTTTGAAGAGAGCACTTTATTTTGAGGGTGGGCAAAGGAGGAGTTAAGTAGTGGTTTGGCTGCAAAGTGGAGGAAGGCAGGATGGGTGCATAAAGAAGTATGGAAGGAGAGAGAAGAAAGGAGAGAGAGAGAGTGGCTGTTTGAGTGGGGGGACAGCAGAGTAAAGGACAAGCTTACAGAATAGACTCCTGTATGCTCATTGGAGGTGAGAAAGGATCCATGGGGATGAACAAAGGGGATAATAGATGTAGGAAGGCCAGGAGGAGGTGGAAGGGGTTGGGAAGGCACAGATGTAGTGGTTTGCCTTGGTAAAGGGAAGTCAGGCTTAGGTACAGACCCTGCAGTGGGGACAAGGGTAGTGGAGGGTGCTCAAGTCAGATGGATTCAACCTTCAGTCAGGTGGCAGGTATGACTCTCTGCTTAGAGGCCGAGGAGGGAGGAAATAGTCTTCTGATTTTGAAGCTACCAGAAAAGGCCTGGCATAGCCACCATGAGGGAAGAGATTAGGAGCCAGAGTTGTGTGTGGTCAATATAAATTTAGAAAAAGAGAATGTTTTGTATTGTGTATACACACACATGCACACACACACACAGAGTTAAAATTGCCCGTGCCCTTGATACAGGTCTCACAAAAACACAAAGCTCTTGTGTTTTTGTCCTTAATCAGTCAGGTCAATCCATCTTGTATCACCTCTTTGACCAGGTGTTCCTCTAAATGAAATGAATACCTCATCAATGATATCCCCATTTTCGGCATGAACTTGTGCAATAGCTCCCAGTTCTCGGATAATGCTGAAAATTTCATACATCTGGTAAGGGGAAAAAAGAATACAGTATATTCTTACACATGGAGATATCTCTCATAAATATCTTAATAACATTTTTCATTAGCCTAGTTATATTTTGAGTGAAGGTTACCTGGCCATCAGTACACTGGTATTTGTCTTTATAGGACATGAAAACTTGGAAGGAGTTCACACCTGAAAATGACACAGAAAGAACCAGTCACTCATATTCTCAGCAAGTCAAGGAGGTGCATCTTAGGGCCACCTGACTGGCTTTCTGGCAGACAGAACCTGGGCTAGACAAAATCTCAGAGTAGGCAAGCTTTCAGGGCATCTGCCCAACCGTTAAGTGAGCACTTCCACACCATACCAGAGGCTGGTTATCCAATCTTGGCTTGAAAACCTTTCCAGAGAGTGAGATCCCACTGTCTTTGGAGGCATCCCATGTGGACAGCTCTAAACTCTTATGGAGTGTTTCCTGATATCAAAACTAGAGACAGCTTCTTCTAATTTGCACATGTTACTGCTTGTTCTGCTATCTGAGACCAAGAAGGACATGATTGCCCGTGGGGATCAAGACTCATTTCCTCATTTGATATTTTGTACAAAGGATCCTCTCATTAGGCTTTGAAGTTATATGTCCATACATGCCTGTGTGACAGTATTAAAAAACAACAACTCTAATTCATGATAAAGTGTTAATGGATGATAAAACCACCCTTTATTTCCCCTCCCAGGTAACATAGCTCTGTCTCGCCTTGGTACCTGAGCCCAGAGAAGTGGTCAGTGTGTGACCTTCAGGTACCAGGCATGAACAGCAGGGCCTCCCAGAATCCCCCAAAGCAGACTGTGGAGGAGGCCTTTTCATCCCACAGCTGAGGCTTCCTCCCAGGGCCTGATGCCTGGCAGAAAGAGATCTAAGGATTTGATCTCCATTCACTCAGGCAATAATTACACAAGCCCTCGTGGGAATGAGTATTTAGCAATGTGCCTCCTGGGTAGCCGTCCCTGTGCAGGGCACCAATGATAGAAGAACAAAAAGGAAATGCCCTTTGTCCTCAAGGAGCTGAGGTCTGAGGGCACCATATTGGACAAGCCAGTCTGCAGGGATGCTACATGCCTTCTCCCTGCAGCTCACAAGTGCACTTAGGAGCAGCAGGGATGCCCACTGGCCTGCAGATCCCCGAACAGCAGTCCCTCTTCTCAGGCCCCATCAGGCCAGAGAACCTCAGGGACATTGTAAAAGGGCTCCAGCAGTTATGGCAGCTCACTAGAGAGAGAGACATGGAGATACTGAGTCTCTGGTTGGTCCCACAGGATCACCCTTGTCTGTTCTATGAGACCTGAAGGGACCCAAATCCCCGAGACATAAGGAAGGCCATGGGAAGTTCACACAACTTCCTAGTTCCCCACTGGAAAAGAACTAGACACATGCCTTTTCCTAGGGGTGAGAAGGAAACACCGGCCCCTTCAAAGCCTCCCTTCAGGGCTCAGCTGCCAACGAATGAGCTGCCTGTGAATGGGGAGGCTGGCTTTTCTGGGCATGGGCACCCTTATCCTTGGCTTGCACCCAGTCATCAGGAAGAATGGAGGTACATTCCACTGCTATTTCTTTCCTCTGGACTTGAGATTCCTCATCTGTAAGGTCAGGGAAATCTCAGTGGAGGATCTCTCTTTCCTTGAGTCTTCCTGGCAGCATGGGCCTGGGCTGGACAGCTCCTTGTATGTGGTCCCATTCTGGGGCTCTGCCTGTGACTCAGAGAAGGTGACAGACCTGTCCCACCACTCCGTTGAATGCGGCATCCCCAGAAGCACTGACCATGACCACCTATACTGTGCATTCTCACCTTTGTCCTTCACCAAGGCCTCCAGCTCCTCCCTGAGGCTCTCATGCCAGCGGGTGATGTCGATGTGCAGGGAGTAATCACAGCATGATTTACTGTCTGCAGTTTCTCGCCACTGGTCGAAGGCAGTGAGCAGGTTCACTCCGGGCTCCGGGAGCACATGGTCCACTGTAGAAGGAAACAACCAAGCGGCTGTCAGCCTCATGCCCGTCACTGTCCCAGTCAGGATCAGGTTTAAGGACCTCGCACAAAAGGAAGCCTTCAGCGTGTTTGCTGCTGGTTCAGCCAGCTTCTGAGAGGAGGCATTCTAAAAGCTGCCTTCCCCTCTGGGATAAGAGTGAAGGTCTGGCTCCTGGCCAGGAAGCCAGACAGGATGGAGCTTCCCAGAAGCAGTGACCTGAGGGTGTTACTGGGGGCTCCTGATTTGCTCTAGGATATGCTCCTCCCCCCCATTTTTCTTTTTTTCAGATCTTTAACCTGTTGCTTAATTTCCATGGATCTGGTGGCTCCTTGAGGGCCTAATCCTAGGAGGACTAAGTGTAGAGAGGTAGGAGGTCTGCAGCTAAGTGCAAGGAGTTTGTTGCATCTCTGCAGGTAAAAAGCTAAATGCTCCTCAGCAGAGCAAGCTTCACATCTGGGGCTCTGCCTCAATAAGCCCTCAGAGAAGGTGACAGACCTGTTCCCCTTCGCCCACCCTATGCTGGGGTCAAGCTCTCTGTCCCTGTCAATGACTCAGCAGCCTCTTAGGGTCCTGGGAGTGCAGAATGTAGCCCTACATGAAGGCAAGTTCAAATCTAGCTGCCCATTTTTTTGAGAGAAGCCCAAAGATGTATCAGTGAGAGGGCAGAGCAGATACCTGGCCAGCCCTAACTCAGGACCAGTTTAGAATACAAGCTAAAGATGAGCCTAGGATGAATTTCTGCATCTTCCTAATTCACTTCAAAGATTTATCTGGAGGTTGGCCCTCCCACTTCCTTAGCAGTGGACTAAGGAACTGGAGTTGCGGCCACATGAGCCAGAGAAGGCCAGCCAGCTGGCCCAGGGGCTTCCATCATCAAGACTGTCACACTTACAGCTAGTTTTGAAGTGCTTGATGCTAGGACAGAGAAAATCATTTAGAAATGTCACCAGGTAAGGCTTTAGTTCTAGAAACACAAACCTTTGGGATCCCATCTTTAGGTTCTTAAAAGACGAATGTGGGGGGACAGAGAAAGGACACGTTGCCACCTGTTTCTTGACTTTCATAAACAAACCCTTCCAGATCCTCAGTCTCTGTGTCAGGTGGAGTCAGTCTGAACTCATTTTGGCTCATCCTCAGACCTTCATGAATGTGCCCAGAGTTTCTCAGCACATCATTGCTATGACACTGCATTAAAACATGGCATCTGAACAGAGTCTGAGGCTCAGACATCCTTGGGAAAATGAGGCCAAAGTGAGACGTAGCTACAGACAGAGCCCAGCCCCCTGCTGGTCTCTACTGTGAACTACAGTATGTCATGTTATTATTTCTTACACCATGCCAATTACGGAAGTGTGATGATGCTGACACAGACAGGGCTTCATGGGAGCTCATTCTCTTGCTACTAGGAGCCAGGTCAATGAACTAAGCTGGGGAGGAAGCCTTGGGCTTGGCCAAAACATTGGCAAGGCCACACTAAGCAGCCTCAGAGCTATTGGGATGCTGCCCAGCTGAGCCCACTGCACTTATGACCCCTTCCCCCTCTCTCAGTTGATGGAGGGCTTTCATAGTCCAAAAGTCACTCCCATAGTCCAAAATCAACCTTGGCTCAAAGCAGTCCATTCCAGGGAAGTGAGGGTTAACCTTCGACCTGAATAAGTCGCATCTTAGGATCCTTGCTTCCATTTCTGATATTTGAGTATTTAGGACCAAACCCTTTCCCATTCCCCAAGTGACAACAGTAGCTGAGAATCCCTGCTTTCAACTGTTGATCAAAACTATGGAGCCGAGTAGCCTTGCATGTAATTGTTAGCATATCATCTCTCTCATTAGACTTTGAGCTCCTTGTGGACTGTGATGATGCTTTGGCTTTTTCTTTTTTTTTACTTAGCACAGTGATTGGAACTTAAGTATGAAGAGTAGCTAGGTGGCATCGTAGTGCACAAAACACCAGGCTAGAGTCAGGAAGACATCTTCTTGAGTCCAAATCCAGCCTCAGACACCTACTAGCTGTGTGACCCTGGGTAAGTCACTTTATCCTGTTTGCCTCAGTTTCCTCATCTGTAAAATGAGCTGGAGAAGGAAATGGTGAACCACTGCACTATTTCTGCCAAGAAAACTCCAAATGAGATTATGGAGAGTTGGCTATGACTGAATGAACAACAAGTATGAAAAAGGCCTCAGGAGACATGGACTCAGTCCCAGGTAAAAGTCATGATGACAGCTCACATCAAAATGGTGATTTAAGGCTTATGAAACTTTTCCCAGACAACAGCCCTATGAGGTAGATTGGATTAGTATGATTAATCTCTATTTCACAGCTTAGGAAACTGAGGCTCAGGGGTTTGCTTGACGTCACACAGTCATTATATGGCAGAGATATTGTACAGCTTTTGAACAGGAAGAGGGAAAATGGGCTTGAAATGTTTCTTTCCTTGGATTCACTGACTCACAAAGGGTGGGCCTGGGAGGGGTCAATTCCAGTAAACATGTATACATTGCCTGCATTGTCTTAGTCTTGGAGATGCAAAGACAACACAGGCAAACTCAGTCACCAAAGAGCTTATTTTCTCTCTGCAGGTAAGGAGGAGGGGTATACCACCTACACAGGTAATAGTACAGAGCTGGCCAAGGAAGGAGAAAGCAGTAATGATGGGGGGATCACAATAGGATTTGCAAAGGACATGGCCCCTGAGTTGAGCCTGGAAGGAAGCCAACCAAGGCCTCTAAGAAGTGCAGGAGAGATGAGGAGAGGGCTATCCAGACATGGGGACAGTCTGGGAAAAGGCAGAGGAATGGGAGAGAGAGAAGGGTAGGGGCAGGAGGCAGATAGTGAGGTTAGTTTGACTGGAACACATGAAAAGGAATGAGAAATAAGCCTGGAAAGGCTAGGTGGAGTCACACTGGGGATAGCTCTGAATGCCAAACTAAGGATGCCATTGGTATGCAATAGGAAGCCGCAGATGGGTTTTCAACAGGATAGAAAGGTCAACAGGAGGTCCAACTTGTGTCATAGGAAGATCGCTTTGGCAATAGTGTGACCTATGGATGGGTGAGGGAAGAGTCTAGAGGGGAGCACAGGTAAGTGACTACCACTGTAGCCCAGATGAGAGGTAATGAGGGTCAAAACAAAGGCAGAGGCCATGGGAGTACAGAGATGGGGACAGATGTAGATGTTGGGGAGGTCAACTAAGCAAGACCTGGTGACTGTTTGGATATGGGAGGAGATGGAAAAGAAAGAGTTGAGGATGACTCCACCTCAACAAGGGTGAGTATTTGGGCAACTGGAAGATTTATGTGACCTCCCACAGAAATGAAGAAGTTCACAAGAGGGGTGAATTTATGAGAAGATCCAATACACCAAAGCGGGAGCTCACACACACACACACTCACACACAAACACTTACGGATCATCGTGGTTCCTCCTGCTAAGGCAGCCTTGGTGCCTTGATGGAAATCATCAGCAGAGTTCATTCCCATGACAGAGACCTGCAGCCGTGTGTGGACATCTATTCCACCTGGCAGGACCAGCAGGCCATATGCATCAATAATTTTGATGCCACCAGGAACAATGAGGTTTTCTCCAATTTGTCTGAAAAGAAAATTTGGAGACTTCTGGTTATAAAGGGTCAGCTGCCCAGGAACTCCTAAAGTTCCATGCGAAAGGATGATGGTGGTGGTGTGTGTGTGAGATCCCCTGTTATGGGGAAACAGCTTATGGGAATCCAGGAGGCCAAAGGTGCTGGCTCCTCATGACTCACAGAAGCCAAGCATGTGATCATGCCTCCTTCTGTCCTGCCTCCTGTCCATCCTGCAGAGCAGGGAACTACATTTCCCATCTCCATGCAAAGCCTTGGCCATAGTAACAATGACAATGATATTTCTATAGCACTTGAAGGTCTGTCAAACTCTTTACATGCACTATCTCATTTGATCTTCACAAGAAACTGGGGAGGTAAGGGCTACTATTATCCCCATTTTACAGATGAGGAAGCTAAGGTTAACAGAGGTTAAGTGACTTGTCCAGTATCACACAACTAGCAAGTGTCTGAAAAAAGAATTTGAACTCAGCTCTTATTGACTTCAAGTCCAGTACTCTGCCTCCTCTGCCAAGCTGCCTTCTTAAGTACTCTGGTCTCTGTCCATTTAAGTCAGGACCTCAAACCTTAATCAAAATTCCTTCAACAAACCTGTTTTCTTCCTAGATTAGGAATCAACGTGACATTCCTGTGCCTGGCTCCCTCAAAGCATCACCAGACAAGAGTCTGTAGCTTTGCTGTGGGTGTATCCTCTGCCAAGCCAGACTAGCCTCTGCCATGCCTTCAGAAGGCAGCTTCCTGAGTCATTGTGGATTGCACTGTGGCAGCTTTCTCACCCTCCCCTTGGGTAGTCTCTCCTTACTGAGTGAGGCTGGTCCTCAAACAGACATCAAATCCCCAGGGAAGGTCATGATTAGAACTTGCCAGAACTTGGGGACCACTAAATGGAAAGATCCTTGATGCAGAGGTGGGGGAAGGGGGAGGGGAGCAGAGATTTTCCTGCAAAAAGGCAGGGGAGGGACTTTTCCAAAGTCACCCAGGCAGTTACTGGCAGAACTCAGACTCCAAGCCTGCCTCACTGACTCCAAATCAGCCTCTGGGCTGGGAGTCTGGCTAGAGGGGGTGAGCAAATCCGCCAGCCAATATGCAGTGAAAGCCCACCCTCCAGGCCTCTTAACTCATTTGGCCTCATAGAGCAGCCCAGGAGCAGACACTCGGTCCCTGCCCCCTGCTTCCAACCCAGCGGTGCTAGTGATGACCCACTCGACCTCAGAGCTATCTGGAGGCAGCATTATCCTGGTCAGTAGAGAGGATTTGGGAAGCTTCTAGCCATATAAGCATGGAAGAAAAGGCTTCAGGCCCTCCATCCCCAGACCTCCTGATCCCCCAGGACTGGTCCAGGTCAAGGAGTTTCAGTCTTTCCCTGATTCCCTCTCACATGGTAGATGAATTAAGATGAGCACCCCAGCTTCCCTTTATGGGTTATTTTTCTCCCATTAGAATTTAAGTCCTTTGAAATCAGAGATCGTCTTTGGGGGGTCAGGGCTTGTATTGTATCCTCAGCACTTAGTGCATTGTCTATCATATAATTCATGCTTAACAAATGCTTTATTTCTCTCTCATTTGGGACTGAGCAAACATTTCTGTGGCAGCCTAGGGCCCCATGGCAGCCAATTCTTCTTCTTTAAGGCTTCCTTCTCTTCATTTACAGGTTGCTTGGGCAAACACCCTCTGCCCTTCTTCTGTCCCTGCTTTTTCATGACCACCCATGCCAGCCCTACCCTTCTGCCCTAAGATTATTCTGCCCTTCGCTCCCCTAGCACCATCTGGAAGTTCCTTTCACAGTACATACAATGCATACTAGACCTCTTTGTCTCACGTGCCTTCCTTCCCTCTCACTGCAACCATGGAAACCTGACTGCCTCCAGAAGACACTGCATGCCAGGCCACTGTCTGTGGCACTGGTTGCATCTTCTCTCATGCTGTCCAACACACTGGCCCAGGTGAGCAGGATGAAGACTCCCTGCTCATCACAGTCATTTCCATACCCTCCTTTTACCATGCATGGAGGGTCCTTCAGACCAGATTGATCACCTCCTGGCCCTCAGGCCTTTCTCTTTCATTTCTAAAGGAGTTCATCTCATGGCTCACAGCCTTCCTGTCCTTCCCAACCCTGGGAAGCAGCTGCTGGGGCCATGTTTCCATAGCAGTTCCTCTATCAACAGCGACAGCTGGCCAGGAGGTGGGCTAGAGGCAGGCCCACTATCCTGATGTTCTTGCTCTTGAGCTTCTGGTCCTGGGCCACTTTCACTGCAGTCTGAAGGGATGGCATTGTTGTGATGGTTATGGTTCCTGTAGCCTTGCTCATGTCACTTCCAGCTTTTTCTTCAGTTGGCTCATGGCTTCAGCTTCATTGGCTTAATGACTAAAAAGTACTTAGTAAACTGAATACTGAATTGGCCTCTAGCTACTTAAGTGCCTTACATCTGTGTGTGTGTGTGTGTGTGTGTGTGTGTGTGTTCACTTCTCCTTATGCTTAAGGAGACTGATGCATGGAGAGATTAAATGACTGGTCCACATCAAGGCTAAATCTAGGTCCTCCATCCAGACTACAAATCCAGGATTCTTTCCACTGAACCCTGTTGCCTATTGACTAAGCAGGAGCCCAGACATCTTTTTTTAACTTACTAGGGAAATAGACCTTTGCATTTCAACCAAAATTTTACGTATTTTCCTTTCAGTCATTTAAAGAAGCCTGCAAACCTTTGGCACCTTTCCCAAACTTTCTATGCACAGAGCATGTGGTCCAGGGGCAAAAGAATGTGGGGGAGAAGGGATGAGAGGTTTGCTTACAATTACCTTGATTGAAAAGCAATCTATGGTTGCCAGTTATATAGGTATGTTTTCATAGAAACTTACTTTATCAAGCCATCTTCCAAATATATGTCAGCATAGAATGACTGGTCATCGTTGACTATCTTTCCACCTTTGATCAGAAGTTGGTCACTCTATTGGTGGGAAGGGGGAGAGAAACAAATATTAGAATGTGCTTTCTAAATCACTTTGATTATCAAAACATTCATGCAAAAAGTCTCTAGAGTGATAGAGAATGTAGTAAATGTACATTCATCTAGTCAAGACAAAATGTAATGGAAATGCTGGCAAGTCATTTAACCCCATTGCCTAGCAAAAAAAAAAAAAAAAAAAACCAAAACAAAACAAAACAAAAAAAGTGTAATGGAAATGAATGTCAAGCCCTGACATCAGACTTATAAAACCAATTTTATACATTCAGGAGTGGGGGAAAAGTGATTAGAAAGCAGTGCATGTGAAAAAGACTTAGGAGTTTTATTGGACAATCTTCTCTTTGCTATCTCCTCTAAGACATATACCTCCCAATTCACCAACTCCCCAAACTCCTAGGACATTCCTTCACTCCACCTCAGCCTCCCACAGGGTGGTAGGTCATGCCTTGGCTTTCACTATCATTTTCATTCATCACTATCTACAAGACCTTAGTTTTTGAAATTCTCCTGTCTGATTGTTAGCTCCTATTCTTCTGTCTTTCTTTCTGCTTCTCTCTACCATCACCTATCCTTTGCTTTCTCTGTGACAGCCAGCCCCTCCACCCCTCCCTCCTTGCTTAGGCCACCATCCCTGCTCTAGCCTCATTTTCCTCAGTTCATAGTCTTGACTTTGTAGTGGACAAGTTCACCCATACACTGTCTTCTGTCCTGTAGTTTCTTCTCCTCATATACTATGACTGTCTATTGACTGCCCTTATAAGCCATGAGTTTATGTTATTATCATGTTTCTAAATTTTATGGTATAGTGAACTTTTGGAAACTATTATCTAAGAAATACTGTTAAGAGGATGATGCAATTGTATCATTAGAAATTAATATATTTTGATAGTATGCTATGAGATTGTTAACTACATTATTAGAAGCCAGCATAACATTAAAACCTATCAAGTACTTAATTAGATATATTTTATTTTAAAAAGAAGAATTACTTATTGTGTGGGAAAATGTATTTTAAAAAATGACCTTGTAAAATCTCATCTGTAAACTTCCCAGATTCCTTGGGACTTTCAATTTGGGCAAGGTCATAAAATCTCATCCACTTTGTGAAAGAGTTTGCTAAATGTTTTGAAGTTCTAAAATAATGAATTGGCTTACTGAGAAATTGGGATCCCTTCTTCCATCACAAATAATCACTACCAAAATGTGAGGAGAAGACTTACAAGTTTGCTTATAGTATAGAAATGATTTCTATGATAAATTGTGATCAGGAAATTATTAAATTATACATATAATAGTATATGTTGAAGTTACATCTTGAGCCAAATTAATCTCAACAGACTTGTATTAAAAATTTATTTTTGCCTTAGGAGTTTAAAATACAAAATCTTAAGAGATGGATATCTGTTAGTCTGGAGGCTTACAATAAATAACCAGTGTTTTTCTGGGTTATGAATGAGCTATCATATATTTGCTGTCTATGTGGAATTCTAGAATATGATTTTTTAAAAAAAATTCTAATGATTAAGGGATGAGTTTTAGCTAAAGAAAAAAAGAAAAAAAGGATGTTAAATTTTTTTAAAAGCCCGGTAAACTTATTGTTAATAGTTATTGTAACAACATGAGAGATAATAATAATAATTGTACGTAGCTCTAAGCTGTGATTAGTGAAACTTGCTAAAATCCCTTGGGACTATAATTTGGTGTTGTTTTAAGTTTTGAATTCAGGTACAGTTGTCTGAATTACCATTAAGTCAGTAATCCACCATTCAACGAAAATGCCACAAGCTGCCCAAAGTGTGTATGATCTGAGAACTGTTATAAGTGGATGTCTATGCCCAGGAAGGATGAGAGGATGGCTTTACAAGGTAATGATAGGATCCATTTGACTTAGTTTCTTCATTATGTTATTTCCTTTTTGGACAGGAATGTTTCCCATCTGGTAAATTCTGAGCCTGGGAATGATACCTTGTGAATAATGTGGAATTTTGCTGCACAATTGGCTATTACAAAAAACTAACTGTGATTCTTATCTGAAATCAAATAGAACTAAGATGCTCTATCTTGTTATACCTATGTTAAGTGACTCTGTGCCCTTAGGTTTAGGCTTGAAGGAAAAATCTTGATGTTGTCACAACCATGTCCCTTTTTCATTTCATAGCAAATCTCTCTAACCATGTCAGGTAAAACTGTAATTTAAAAAAAAATTAACTCTGTTTTTGCAATGCTCAAGCACCTCTGCATTGCTATAATGGATTAAAAAAATAAAACCTTATTGAGTAGAATACTTTGATGTCCTGTTACTTATAAGGTCAACTCCATAAGTTCTGAAGTGGTTTTTAATCATATGAATTAATTACCGGAGGATCGATCTGATTAGAGTTTGTCAGGTTTTATTAAATTATACTAAGTCTTATCACTAGTAAACTTTAACAGATTTACCTAGAAAATCTCCACAAGTGACCTGAAACCCAGAGATGGTGAAGGAAATAACCTCCATAAGCCTACCCTGATCCTTCCACAGATGCTTGAGAGATGCACAAGAGATACTCACTAGATACCTGAAAGAACAGATCATGGAGGCTTCCAAAGGCTTTGAAACACTTAAAGCAAAGCTATATTGGATGTGTCTATTTATCCTATTGTAATTTTATTTGTTTTATTAGTTTTCTGTGTGCTATGGATCTGTTACCTATTCCATAAAGAGCATATCATTTCTGCTCAGATTGATACTGCTGTGGGAATTGTTAGAAAATTATGAGACTATTAATAGCTTCAAATTGGGGAATTGAAGGGAATTTTGCATATGATTATAAAAGAATGCTATAATAAAGAAAAATAATTCATGATGACCCCCAAGGTTACAAAACAGAAAAAGAAGGCAATAAAGTTGCTGATAAACTGCAGGATTGTTTGTACAGAAGTCTGGATGGTCTCAAAAACAGAGTGTCTCCACTCTGTTCCATGAAAAAAAAATACTTGCATCAATATTATGTCACCTGGGGAATAATGATTGGTAAAGAGAAGAAACCAGAGTTGTTTGATTGAGGAGATAAAAACTGGGGCAATTTAGAAGAACTTATAGTCTTTCTCACAGGCTAAATGAACGTATACATTCAGCCTACATGAATGCATTCTGGCTATTGCATATGACCATCAATAAGCTTCTAACTAATTTGAGATAATTTCTGCCTCCTGATTTTTTACAACCTAACATCTCTAATACTCTATTCTGGCTCCTCTTCTCTCTTGATACTCTTTAAGATCCTTTTTGAAGTTTTTTGGTTATCTCATATAGGCCTATGGGATTAATTATCATCTAAGTTCAGATGACTCCCCAAACTACATGCCCAGTCTTATTCTACCTCCTCAATTATAATCTCATATTACCAATTGCCTCCTAGAAACCTCTACTGGTCAATCAATAAATAAAGCATTTACTAAAGGACTCCTATGTGCCAGACACTATGCTAGGTCATAGGCATATAAAGACAAGAATGAATAGCCCCTGCCTTCCTGAAGTTTTGTTCTATCATTTCCCCACAGGCACCTCAAGCTCGACAGATCCCAAGCTGCAATCATTAGCTTTGCCTCTAAACATACTCCTCCTTGAGATTTTGTTGTATTTTGTTGAGGTGATGACTTCTCTGACTATGGCAACCTATACAGAAAGACACAAGTCAATCCCACTCAGTGTGACCACTTGGAACTTCAGCAATGATGATGGCAGAAGGATGAAAAACATTGATAGTGGAAGGAGGGAAGAGGAAGATAAACATACTAATTTTTCTGTCTACAAACATTAGCTTAGCTATTATCTGACTAATGAGTGAATATCTGACTAGAAAAATAGAATGATATCAATCTTGACATTCTCAATGAAAATAAAACCATAAAACAAATAGAATTGGCAACTAAATGAAGAGATGGCATTCAGCTTTCCCTTGAAGAGGCAAATAAAATGGAGCTGGTAGGGCTGGATTCACCAAACCTGAAAAGGCAACGGTCAACAACATTTCATGAAACACTGGGTCAGCATTTAATTGCAGCACTTGGGAAAAGCACTCACAGAAAACTACTATGCAAAGAATTTCAACAGAATATGTGTCAACATATATTGCAGAGGATGAAGAGGCACAGAAGTTCTACAAAGAACTAGATATGATACTCCAAATTAAATCAACATGTTCTTCAATACTTGAAGAATTCAATGCAAAGGTGGGCACAGTGGAGAACAGCAAAAAAGATGTCAGAGAACATGGTTTAGGAGGAAGAGATGGGAGGGGCCAATGGCACAGAAGAGCCTCACGACTGTGTCATAAATATCTTCTTCAGAAAGAGAGTTGGGAGGCACTGGACATGGGGAGCACCAAATAGCAGCATAAAAAAGAAATTAATTATATTTTAGTGGGTATGAAAAGATGACTGAAAAGGGAGAATACTTAAAGAACCTTATCTTAGAAAAAATAAATCGAACAAGCCATCAATGAGCTCCTTAAGATGTCCCCAAGACCAGATGGATTTACAAGTGAATTCTACCAAACATTTAAGGAACAATTAATCCCAATACTATATAAACTATTTGAAAAAATAGGTAAAGAATTAGCTGTACCAAATTCCTTTTATGACACAAATATGGTTTTGATACCTAAATCAGGGAGAACAAAAATAGGGAAAGAAAACTATATACCAAGTTCCTTACTAAATATTGATGCCAAAATTTTAAATAAAATACTGGTAAGGAGATTATAGCACAGTATCACAAAGATCATACTCTATGACCAAGTGATACAAGAAATGCAAAGCTGGCTCAATATTAAGAAAACCATCAGCATAACTGACCATTCAATAACAAAAACAACAAAAATCATATCAATAGATTCAGAAAACGTCTTGGACAAAATACAATACCCATTCCTTTTAAAAACACTAGAAAACATAGGAATCAATGGAGCCTTTCTTAAAATGATAAGTTGTATCTAACT